TTCAAGGTTAAAAGGTTTGATTGCTTATTCAAAACCGAGCCACCCCATAAAACCTGCCATTTATTGCTTAAATCATTGTGAGCCACCTTGAGCCCCCTATGGGGAGAAAGGCAGCATATAAACAAACAGACAAATTTCTACAGATTCACTCACAATATAATGTCACAGAGAAGAAATCACATTGCTACATCAGCTACTGCAATGACTGCTGCTATATATTATGGGAGAACAGGGAAGCCTGGGGTGGGGATGGAGTAAGGTTTTTGTCCTTGCTGATCAGACTGTTCTGTTGCTTTACCCTCTACACACTGGTTCCACTATAATGTTGGATGTACTATTACCATTTTTAATGGCAGTCCTACAGCCTTCTGCGGACTGGCTTTTTCCTAACTTTTGGATTGCAAACCCCATCATCCTTTGCTGGGCTGATGGGGCTTGCAGTCTCCACACATTTGAGGGAGGATGGGGTTCCAGAAGGTGGTGGCAGCATATTAGTTTTGCTGTGAGGATGACTGCTGATCTGCTGATCTGCCCTTCTCTCTTAAAAAAAAGAGAGATTATTTTGATGCTAGTTACGGTGTATGAGCTGACACAGAGTACAATATCTGAAAAACACTCTTGCTTCCAGCGTGCTCCTGGTAACTCTCTGGCTCAGCAAACACAGTTCCCTTTGGTAGAACGGCAAGGTCGGACAGTGTCTCCTTCAGTAGTTTGACCTCCCGAGGGAGATGCTGTCTCCAGTGACCTCCTCTGTCAACAGCCCCCTCCGGAAAGAGGATTACGCAAGCAGAAATGGCCTGGCCAGAAGGGCTTTATTTAACAAACAGGGACAACCTGCTACTGCCTCTCCCAGTATTGAGGTGTTGCACTTGTTAGGACTTGCAGCTGTGAAGTGAGATGGTTCTCCTTTTGTGAATCAGTTTAGAGCTTGGATGCTATGTTTTTGGACTCCAGTGCCCAGAGCCCACCTGCTGTCACGCTGGCGAGAAGACTTTGGGAGGCGTAACCCCCAAAATGAAACTGTTCCAGTTCTTGGTGCTGAAATAATAAGATGTATTTACATACATTTGATGTCCATATTTGGATTGTTTCCTAACTTCATAACGAAGCAGTGAGTTTTAAGGCTGGGAACTGTTCTTTCTCCTTGTGTGCACATGACCACCATCATTTCATCATTAAATTCCTCGCTTCCACTAAAACTGAGTTTCCTAGAACATCCAAAACGTGGGATGTCTCTGCAACTAGCCAGGATAATTGTGTGTATAACTGCTAAATAAGAGTGCAATGACCATCAAAGGTGTTGGAATTCAGGTATGACTTGGAATTATTGCCTTCTCTCTGCCTCTCTGGCTTGCGATCCAACAAGCCTGGTCTGTGTGTGTAGAAACCAGATCTGCTTTTCTGAACTGGGGGAAGTAGGTTTCAAGACCTCTTGTTCAGCGTGGATTTCAGTCTCGCCCAAATCCCCTGCATTGGAACAAAGATCTGCTTTCTGCCAGTCAAAATATGTTGGTCAAAGAGGTTGCTCACCATCCAATTTTCAAGGATCCTTTCTCCCCTGCCGTGTCTCCTAAGTCACTCCATTCACCAAAATTCTCCCCCTTCTCCCCCATGTAGCATTTTCAGAGACCGACAGGGCTGCCATGGGGAGGGCCTCCTGGGAAGCTTGCTTGCACATGCCTAAATTGAGATCAGACCTTGTGTCTTTGGAAGCACTTTGGGTCAGCAATCCTGCCAGTCTCCCTCCCCTTCCAAGATCCTTTCCCATCCTTACTTTTTTTGCTTGCTCTCCCGGAGCTGCAGGTGGCTCTGAAGTCTACCAGTGCCACCACTTCCAGTTGTGCAGCCGTGTTTGTTCCTTTGGCAGATCTGCTGCAGAGTGGCAGGGTGCCAGCTCTGACAGTGGGCCACTTCCCTCCAGTTGGGTTGGGGGGATTGTGAGAGAAAGGGGGAGATGGGCTTAGGCTTTATCTTGCTGCTTTTTGGCCGGTGCTATTGAAAATGCTCCCAGTAGGAGCAGAACAAGCGTGGAAGCCTGCAACCTGCCGTGTGAGCAGAGTTTTGTTCTCCCAGCTGGGAAAGCCCGGCCTTGCGAAAAGCCACCGTTGGCAGATGGGATGGACAACAGCTTTGATTTTTGAACAGTGGCATGGCTTCATCAGCCTAGAAGGACTCCCTACCCCTCCTTTCTCTCCCATTTTGAAGTTCCAGCTGTGCTGGGCTTGGGGGACAACGATGATGGTGAGGGGAAGGATGCAGCCCAAGGTATTAGAGGACAGATGAGGAGCTATTGCAAAGGGGCAGACATGGGGAGATGATTGGCCTAGTTTGTAGGAAGTTGGAGGAAGACCCATCCCAGGAGAAATCAAAGACAGGGGGGGAGGGTGGCAAACATGACGGAGTGCCTAAGGTCAGTTGTCAGGAAAAAATGGTCCCATTCAGAATTTAACACACCCTGATGAATGCCAGAGACTGTGGCAGGATAGCTGGAAAGGGGTGGTAAAATTTGCTTATTCCTTCGAAACAGACCTGACCTCTGATGGCACTTTGTAAGAGGGGGCGGGCAAAATGCAACACTCTGGATGGTTTTGGCCTGTTAATTCCCAGCATTCCTTTCTATTGCCTCTGCTAGCTCGGATGATGGGCATTGAAGTCCAACAGTATCTGAAAGGTAGCATTTAGGGTTTTTCTCTCCCAATTGTGATATGTGTTGATATGGTGGTAGTAAATCCTTTGGGGAATGTATTCACGAAGGCAAATTCCCCTTTGGGGAATGTTTGTTTGTCTGTCCTTTACTGCATTAGGTTTTGTTGCAGCTGTTCTCTCTGTTTACAACAAGGGTGAGGACAGTGTGCCCCTCCAGGGGTTGTTGGGACTACAACTCCCAGGGATCATGGTCAGCATGCAAAATGGTGAGAAATGTTAGGAGTTACCATCCAGTAAAATCTGGAGGGCTATATGTTGTCCACCCTGATTTAGAGAAAGGACCTTTGGTTGAATCCCCAGCGTGGCTACGTAGGGCTAGAAGAACTCCTGCCTGGCATCCTTGGAGAGCAGCTGTCTGTAAGTGTCAACAATATTAGGCGGGAGAGACTAGTGGTCTGACTCAGCATAAGGTTTGCTGCTCTCATTAAAGAGGCAAGTCACTCTTTAATGAGATTGGTGGCTTACCTTTACTGTAAAGGCACACACAGTTCTCTCCTGTGTATGCACCTCTTTTTCACAGCCCTCAATTATTCCCTTGGTGGTTTTTCAAAGAGTGCTTTCAAATGGGGTGGGAAATGGTAGGGGGATGGGGATCAAATTTGTGCTCTAGCCCTCTTTGCAGGCTGCAGAGAGCTCAGAAATTGTCCTTTTGGGGGGGGCACTTCAAAGAAGTAAATAGGAAGTGCCAGAACAAGCACTACTGGTTTTATGTGCCCCTCTTTGCAGGCTGCAGAGAGCTCAGAAGTTGTCCTTTTGGGGGGGAGCACTTCAAAGAAGTAAATAGGAAGTGCTGGGATCTGATGGTTGTTGTAGGTTTTTCGGGCTGTTTGTCTCCAAAACATGGCCAAACAGCCCAGAAAAACCTACAACAACCACGACTGGTTTTCTTTTAATTGTTTTACTGTGGAGGAGGAGACTCTGGTGTAAAAACCACTGCTCCTAGTGGGCTCAAGGAGTAGAAATAGCCAATATTTTGTAAACAAATTTATAAAAGCATTCCTTTCCTTGGAAGGACCATGGGGATCAGTATTCCACAGAAATCCCCTTGAAGACCCATGCAGCCCACGGGGCACAGTTTATCCACCCTATTTTACACCAGTGTGATAATGGTCTGCAGAAGCATTTTGGGGAGTTAGTTGCACAAAATGTGAACCACATTCACCTCAGTGGACTTTCACTACTGTTGGTGAAATGCACTGTATAAGTAGACCCGTCCTGGATCAAATCAAAGCTGCATCTAGCCCAGCATCCTTTCCTGCAGTGACCAAGCAGATGTCTGTAGGAAGACCACAACAGAAAACAAGTGCTGTGGCACCCACCCACACTCATGTTTCCCAGCAACTGATATTCAGAGGCTTGCTGGTAACCCAGAACCATCATGGCTGGTAACTACTGGTGGCATCTTCCAGTACTTGGTTCAGTTAGTTTAATCTACAGAGTAAACACTGCTTTCTGTAGCATGTCGGATCTATACATGGATGGATGTCTGAACATATATTTATGGGGGGGGGAATACAATACAGTACTGTGTAAGAAGAAATACAGCTCTGTATTATTTGGGAGTTTGAATGTGAATGCTCTGATGACTAAAAAGCTGACTGCAGAAAGAGCATGGATGAATCATTGATTGCAATTAGTATTCGGTGGGCAGCACAGGTGGTTGGATCTATAGATGTCAATTTCCAACATATTCCTCTGTGGGTGTTATTTCAAGGGAGTTGGTTCAACAGACTAGCGCTGCAATGACTGTTGCCAGCAAATGGTCTCAATCATGCCCTTCCTTTGGCTTTTATTTGCTGAGGCAAAGGGAGAAATAATCAAGTGTGTTTGCTGCCGGGAATGTCAGGGTATGAAATATGATGTAGAACTCCAAAAGTAGTCTGCCGAGACGTTGCTGTTTGTGCCCCAGAGGCAAAAGAAAACCACTGGAGGAAGACTCTGTGGCTTAATAAATGCGCTGAATTATCAGCCCTTCTTGTGATTTATATTCCTTACCATCTGAATATGCTGCTGTTGTTGTTACAGGCCAATGACTTAATGGATGCAAATTGGAGAAACAAAACACACAAAAAAATTGCATTAGCGGGATGGTTAGTAAAACATCATTTCTGGGAAATGAATCCTGACATTACAAGGGAATCATACAGAGGAATGAAGAGGGGCTGCTCTGCCTTCTTGGCATTGATGCCCACCTCTGTGTACTGCTCCTTCACATGCATGGGGTATTTTACTTCTCTTTTTCTCTCCCTTTTTGTTGTTTCTGCTGCCCTTCTCCTGCATTGTGAATTCTCCAGGAGGTGGAGGTTAGTACTGACTTTTTAAAAATGTGTTGGTTTTAACTTTTCAAAAGCATGTATGTAATCTCCTTTTTTTTGTTTTGTCCCTAGCAAAGTTCCTGCACCTGAGTTTGGGTTGATTTTGAATGACGTGCTGGATGACTTGAATGTGGTCCATGAAGCATTGTACCATCCATCTGTTCATGGCAGTTTACCTGTTTCCCCCTCCAGCCAAAAAAAGAGAAACGGATGCCTCTTTTGACTCCGAATAGATTGGCCCTCCCTATCCTGGAGCTCTCCAGTGTGGTGTAGACTAAACTACCCATCATCCCCAGCCAACAACCTTGTTGGATGAGCATGCTGGAAGCTATCATCCAGTTCATCTGGAGGGCATGATGCTGGAAAAGCCCAATATGGATACTGGAGTGGCATAAATTGAGTTTTGCTACAGGAAGCTCCCTCCACTGATATCAAGGACTGAACCGAAGAGGTTCTGATAGTTGAATGATGAGCCAAATGACAGGAGTTGCCTAGTTTCGACAGTCATATGGTGCAGCTCTTGCTCGATTTTATAATTCCTGATTGCAAATGCATTAAAAATGTTTCTCAGGCAGAGAGTCAGAGAGAATGGCATGTTTAGAGCTTTCTCTGAGATTCTTGTTTTTTGCTTGCAAGGAGATGAGGGAGTTGCTTTTTGTCCCAAATATAGGAGAGCCCTCTACTGCTTCCCCAACTACAGGCTGAAGTGGTATAGTCCAGGAAGAGCTATACCAAGTAATTCTCCTGACAGAGTAGCTTAGTTCTTGACAATGGCAAAGCAGTATTGTTCAGAATCCTTACTCCAGAGTAAATGAAATCATGTAAATCGCAGTGGCAAATTGGAGCTAATTATTGAAGTGGGGACGTGGTGGCGCTGCGGGCTAAACCGCAGGAGCCTGTGCTGCAGGGTCAGAAGACCAAGCAGTCGTAAGATCAAATCCACACGACGGAGTGAGCGCCCGTCGCTTGTCCCAGCTCCCGCCAACCTAGCAGTTCGAAAGTATGCAAATGCAAGTAGATAAATAGGGACCACTTCGGTGGGAAGGTAACAACGTTCCGTGTCTAAGTCACACTGGCCATGTGACCACGGAAGATTGTCTTCGGACAAAATGCTGGCTCTATGGCTTGGAAACGGGGATGAGCACTGCCCCCTAGAGTCGAACACGACTGGACAAAAATTGTCAAGGGGAACCTTTACCTTTACCTTTATTGAAGTGCCAGTCAAATGCCAGACTGAGTAACAGTCACACAACTCAGCCCACGACCAGGCACATAACTGGAAACTTGTTCATTAGCTGCCATTTGCCACTAGTATGATTTCACTGGGATAAAGTCCAGCCAGGATTCTGGATCTGGAATATGCCAACCTTCTGCCTCAAGCACCACAGTGTTCCACACAAGTAACTTTCTGTTGTAGCTCAGTGTCATGTGAATGAGCTTTCTATTTGACCATGCAAAACCAGATCATGCAGACAGAGAAAAGAGGGAAATACGGTTCATTGAACTGTTTCCTTGAAGATGACTGAAACAGCAGATATATGTATATATCCAAGCCAAGTCCAGAACTTGGAAAAATTACTGTTTTCAACTATGGCAGTGCTGGCTAAGGTACTGTGAGAATTGAAAACTTTAAAAAAGATTTTTCCAAGTTCTGGCCAACCCAAGTTGTGCCATGCATACCCATGCTCCCCAGTCTTTTCAAGTCACAACTATATGAGTCTGCTCCAAAGCAATTTCTATTACGGCAGAAAGGCTGCTCCCATCTGTAGTTATAGGGCACTGGAATGTGACACATCTTCAAGAATCAATACTTCCTTAAGGAACTTGCTGTTTGAAGCAGAGTTCGTGAGGTTAATTTTTAAAATGAATTTTAATCCAATAAGATACACTGATAGTGCCAATGGTGGAAAAAAAAACCCTTCTATGTAGGTTGATGTCATTGTAATAACAACATTTAAAAAGTAATTTAATTTTCCTCCTTCTCAAATATAGCTATGATAGTTACATTTAGTTACTTTTTGAAAATTCTCTGAGTGGTAACAAATCACTTGCCTTTCCTACAAAAGGCATGCTCTTCCCACTCACCTTGGCCTTCCTTCAGTGCTCACACAGAACTGCAGAGTACACTGTGTGACATTCCCCCACATGATATCCTTCCATCAATATTTGGTGAAGCCCCAGCCATGCAAGAATAGCATAACTAAAAAGAAAGACGCTGTTGCACCCCAAAGGAAGTGGACATTAAATTACAATTGTAAGCAAATGTAGTTATGCATGTTAATTACAAAGAACTAGTTATTTGCAAATAGTTGAATCATATCTGTTGTCTGAAGCTAGAGACCAAATCCTGTCCATGTCCATTGGCCAACCCACCTCTGTTCGCTAATATCACTTTGAGAAGTATCAGCTCTTCGGTACTGCCATCTCTGAGGTCAATTCATCCGCAGATCCTATTTAGAAGTCTCTTTTCTCCTTCATAGTCCTTCCCAGTCATTAAGGCTGTGTGACAGCTAGCGCAAATGTTGCCACAGCTTGCTTCTAAGTGGCAATAATGGTGTGAGGAGAGGAATGTGTAGTGTGATGAATGATCACAGAAGCTGCCTGTGTTTTTTCACCTTCATGTTCCTGTCACTTTCTGTATATCCTGAGTCTCTCATTGCATCGTTCATGCCAGTAGATTTTGCCTGTCAGCATTTGCTCACACTGATGTCTATATTGGCTCTCAAAATATGTAGCTGACAGCCTATGGTATTTTGCTGCCTGAGGTAAAACAGCAAGTCATGGTATAGGATAACGAAAGTCAATCAAATTGTTTTGACACCTGAGGCAGAAAGTCCTGCAGCCAACTCTCTCCACCTCCCTGGCAGTAAAAATGTGATAATAATACAGGACATTAATAGGCAATCATTTGCTGCCCTATCATGATACCTCAAATCCAATGCCTTGTTTTGTCTAACAGTGGGGCCAGCTCTAGTCTTGAGAGTGCCGTCATTGTTGTATAAATGTGAATCAGAAGGGTTTACGGTCTGAGAGATATATTTGACTACAGCAGAAGAGTTGCCCACCTCCTTTCTTACCAATAGTCTGAGACAATATTTACTAGGCCCCTTTTTGTTTCATGGCCAAACTTTCTTGGGAAGTTTACATCACTTTTTGTCATGGCAAATTCCCATATTGTAGAAAACAAGTGATGGATACTTTCAGTTGTTTCAGCTGGTTTGCTTTGACAGGATTATCCTCCTCCATGGAAGCTGAAATTGGAAAGCCACCTTGAGGTGGCATTCCAACTTTTTAAAACCTAGAATCTAGGTTTTAAAGGTCTAGATCCTCGATAGATTGGCACCAAGCTGAGAAGGCTTTTTTTGTTTGTTTTTTTGTTTTAGAGGAAAGATTGCTGAGAATTGCTGGCTTTTCTCTTCATTTTAAAGCAAGACGGTAATCTTGTTTCCCAGGGGCTTTGTCATTAATCCACTTTTCCTTAGTTTTTCTGGTTGATAGAACAGGTTTATTTCTGATTGCACAACACTTGAAAGGAGAAAATAGTTCCATTGATTTGCAATCGGCCACTAACTGTTGGTTGCTTGCCAGATTTGGAAACTACACACACACATACGCACACGCACACGCACACGCGCGCACAGAACCAGACACAGACACACACACACACACACACACACACACACACACCACACATAACACCCTCCCTTTGCAGAGGGATTTTTGTTTTATTGTTGCCAGTGGCTTTTATGTATTCTAATTTTGTTGTTGTATCAGTTTTAACTTTATCTTGAGAGGGTTATGCCTCAAAAAGCAGCCTAAAAAGGATTTTAATAAATAAATAAGCTGAGGAGGAAGAGGACTGAATTAGCAGACTTAGTTCAAGAGCCCCAGATTTGTTGTCAGTTGTTAATCAAATAAATTAAACAGCCAGATAAATAACCCCCCCACCCCGCAAAGCAAGGATATGAAATCTTTTTGTTTGTTTGTTTCTTGTTGCCCAGAGAGTTTCCTGGGCTGCATGACTGTGGTGGGTCTGAGTATGGCGATGCTGTCAGATGCCATTTCCATTTTTACTCTCAAATATACACTTCCAAGGATTCTTCCTTAGCTTATTCATGAATATTACTGACCGAAGGCTCAGCAGGGAAAAGTTTTTATCTTCACTCACCTGTGGATTGGAAGCAAGAGCTGTGCCCTGCTGGAGGAGAAGTGGTGGAGGCTGGAGAGAAACAGAAGGTCTCAGGAGGAAATGGCTAGGCCAGATGGGGAATACCTGCTGGCTGATTCATAAAACAGAGACGACCAGTGCTAGTGTAGACAATACCTTTTCTTTGTATAGAATAGGGAACTATAGAAGATGTAACTTTTCTTAGCCACCGATCAGTCAAATAGCTGAGCTCTTCTGCAAAACATAGTGAAGACGATAAGCCCAACACAAATTATTTGTAGGGATGTCTTATCCTTCTTGTAACAATATTTTGATTTACTTGGAGTTCTGAGCAACTAGACTTTTGATGCTGGCATTTTCTACTGCCTAAATTGACAATTAATTCTCTTTTTCTTTTCCCCGCTAGGATGACTACATCAAGAGCTGGGAAGACAATCAGCCAGTTGATGAAGGTGAGTTTTCTTGTTACTGAAGCTTATCCTTTAAAGAACTGCTGCCTGCTGTCAGAAAATAGCCGAGGCCTTGTTAGCACCAGGTTTTCTATCTGCAAGTCCATAAACATGGGAGCAAATCTTAACATGCATAGCTTGTCTGGCCTTCTTCGGTGCATTTTGAAAACATTTTGATGTGTCTACAAGTGAGAATAATCATATCAATATATAGGTAGGTTTGAAGAGGTGGGTGAAACAGGGATATGCCTGTTTCAGCTTTATTAACCATAAAAATGTACTGGTACAATTCAGAAATTGCAATTCCCCTTCATGGTAAAGTTTATTGGCTTCCTTTTTATCTGACACTCCCACTATCCGGTAAGAGGATGACTGCAATTTTAGCTCTGAGCTATAGTAGCTCCCTCTGTTTATCATTCTCTCTCTCTGCCTCCTCCACTCCACCCACCCTCCAATTCTAATATGTATCTGAGCCCATTTTCTTGCTTAACTGCAGTGGATAATGAAGAGAATTAGGCAGCCTGTATCCTCAGCTGAGCAAAGGACGTGGTGGCGCTGCGGCTTAAACCGCAGAAGCTTCTGTGCTGCAAGGTCAGAAGACCTGCAGTCGTAAGATCGAATCCACACAACGGAGCAAGCCCCTGTCACTTGTCCCAGCTCCTGCCAACCTAGCAGTTCGAAAGCATGCAAAATGCAAAAAAAGAGAGAGTAGATAAATAGGTACCACCTCGGTGGGAAGGTAAACGGTGTTCCATGTCTAGTCGCACTGGCCACGGGACCACGGAAACTGTCTACAGACAAACGCTGGCTCTATGGGTTGGAAACAGAGATGAGCACCACCCCCTAGAGTTGGAGCTAGACTGAACAAATTGTCAAGGGGAACCTTTACCTTTATCTTACCTATCCTCAGCTGAATGTGAATTCTGATTTTGTTCCACATGTTTAAGCTAATTACAATAGAATCCTACACTCATCTGTTCCAAATTACGGCCTATTCATTTCCATGGGACTTCCACCCAGACATGTATGTAGAAAAGGAGTGGGGATGTGTGTTTCTTCAGTAGCCAGCTTGCTGGGGGTGGGGAGGCAATGTGTATCTTGCATAAATGTAAACCTCCCAGAGATGCTGTAAGTGCTATGGGGAGGTATATATGCAGCACATTTTGTTTTGCTTCACTTTATGGTAGAGTGTATTCCCCATCAGCCCCAATCCAGCATGCCCAGTAGTGGGGGATGATGGGAGATGCAGTCTCTCAGTATAGGGAGGAATAGACATTCTCCATCTCGAGTCTGTAGGATTGCGCTTGTTGCCTTTATTCCTATTAGGTAAGCTTGTTGCATGCCAGTAAGCAGAATTGATTCTGCTTTTTGCAAGTGATGGAAATAATCTCCTTTTTATGTTCCAGGAGTCTGCAAAATGTTACAAGTGGTAGGTTTGGCTTCCTTTGTTGCTGTCATTTAATTGCTAGTTGAAATCAATATCTCAAGACTTGAGGCTTCACAAGCAATTGATCCACAAAGGTTGGGTGAATGTGTGCTGTAATCAAGAAGGAGTTCAAGGACTGAGCTTTGAATAAGTGTACAAATCATACCAAGAAAAACTGGGCAGGGCTATATTTTCCCACAAGGAATAGAATACAAGAGGAGATAACAAAAACTGAATTCATAGAATTGTAGAACTGTAGATCTGGAAGGTATCTCAAAGGCCATCAAAGCCAACCCCTTGCCCAAGCAAGATATCTGCAGGAAAGCGTCCCTGACAGATGGCCATCAAATCTCCAGTGCAGGGGAGTCCAGCGCCTTGCAAGGCGGTCCATTCTATGGTTGATCAGCTTTTACTGTCAGAAATGTCTTCCTAATTCTTTCTATTTGAATCCATTTGTTCAAGACCTGCCCTCTAGAATCAAAGAGAACAAGCTTGCTCTATTTTCTACTTGGAACCGCCGTTCCGATACTTGAGAAGGGTTGCCATGTCACTTCTCAGCCTTCTCCATGTTAAATATATCCAATTCCTTTGACCATTTTTGTAGAGTCCCTTTACTGCTTCAGTCATCCTGTTTCATATCCCAGCATGTCGATATCCTTTGTAAACCGTGGTGCCCAAGACTCTCATGGTATTTCAGGTGAGGTCTCACCAAAACAGAATAGAGTGGCTATTATTTTCCTTGATCTTGACATGGTATTTGTGTTAATATTGCCTAGATGTGCATTTACGGCAGTTGTTTTAGGTTGCCACATCACATTTTTGACTTACGTTTAACTTGTGGGCTGCTCGGGCACTTGGTTTTCTTTCATAGTTACTACTGCCAAGCCAAACTGTTTAGGCCAGTTTCTTGGGGAAACTCATTTTGTTTGTTTGGCCTGACTCTCCAATCTGTTAAGACCATTTTGCATTGTGATGCTGCCTTCTGTAGTATTAGCTGAGCCCCCCCTCCCCATCTCCCAGTTTGAAGTCAGCTGCAAATCTGATGAGCCTCCCTTCGGTTCCTTCATGCAGATCATTTATAAACATGTTGAAGGATGGTTGGCCCAGTCGAGAACTGATATTTTTAGAGTCCCACTTGTTTTAAAACATTTGTGTCCCTCTGCTAAAGTTTGGAGTAGGAACCTCCTCTGGAGTGGTATATTTGCCTGTCTGGTGTCAGCTGAATTTTAGATGAGCTGCTTTTTTTTGAAGGAGTTCAAAATTCCATCTGAATTGAAATGTCACTGTCAAATATGAATATGTGCGATTTTCAGTTTCTCCCTCGCTGTCTGGTTGCTGGCCCTGATCCATCTGTGTGTACAACAGCCAGCACTTCATATGCATGGGTTGGTTCAGCTGACTTGCAGTTTCACCAGTCCTCATTTCTTTATATTTTATAACTGTTCTGATCTGTTTTGTTCATATTTCAGTTAGCGGTGGTGATTGGACTTTTGATATTTCCCTTTGACGTCATTTTAAGTAAATGCATAACCAAAGCTTGGTGAGGAAGATGGTGGTGGTGGTTGTCTTGAGAAAGGATTGTAAGGAAGAGGAAAGCCGACAACCTAGTCTTCTCCAACTTGGTTCCTCCAGATGTTTGTGCCAATCTCATGAACTGCCAGATGTTCTTGGGGAAGTTTCTGATACATGGGGAAGCAAGTATGGGTGGCATAGTTCATGGATGCTGCTGAACTACACGCTAGTTTATTCTGACAGTTTGGCTTTCTGGCAGAGTTGGAACATAGCAAGCTGCCTGTATGGAGGTTAACCTTTAGCTTATTTAGTTTGTTCTGCCTGGTATTAGCTCTCTGGGATCTATCCATCCACCCCCTGCTTCTCTTAACTGGAAATGCCCGGGGGTGAACCAGGACAGCCAAGTTAGGGGAGGCAGCACTGGATTTAAACATGCTTGCTGTGCATACCCATAAATGTACTTCTTTATACTGCCACTCCCATGCTGGGAGCTACTCATCACCTTTTCCAGGCCCTGGGTGTGTTGCATGTAGGCTTTCCTCCAAAGTCAGGTACCTACTTTATGGAGAGGGAGTATTTTTTAGTTGTCATGGTAATTCACCTACAGCCTTTGCCTCTTTTTTCTCCAGGTTTGGACACCACCAAGGATCCCTGCCAGAAAGTTAAATGCAGCCGCCACAAGGTCTGCATCGCCCAGGGCTACCAGCGGGCCATGTGTATTAGCCGCAAAAAGCTTGAGCACAGGTAAGGAAGCTGTTGACTTTTTCATTGATCCCTGCTTGGAGCTAATGAGCATGGAGGCACCTGCTCCTTTCTCAGATCCTCAACCAGGCATTCTATGGTTCACAAGACTTAAGAGGTCCCTGAGGGAGGGAGGAGCTATGGTTAGTCAACACAAAACCACAAAAATCCCAAATACAATACTTCTAGATTTCCCTCCCCCCCTCTTTTGTCATTTAAGGACTACTCTTCAGCCTGGACGTGGGGAGTTATCAATGAAAAGAGCACATGTTGTTGTCTGGAAGTACATATTCTCTGAGGATAAATCCTGCTTTAATATGTGTTTGTTCTCTCTCTTTCTGTCTCATGCATGGGCACACGCGCACAGAATCAAGCAGCCTGCCCTGAAACTCCATGGAAACAAGGAGAGCTTGTGCAAGCCATGTCACATGACCCAGCTGGCATCTGTCTGTGGCTCTGATGGACATACTTACAGCTCTGTGGTGAGGAGAAAAATCACATTAGCACACACTGAGAAGGAGATGGGTGTAGAGAGAGGGCCAGGGACAGCCTTTCAGGAAGAAAATGACAGCCATGCTTCAAAGCTTCTGGCCTGCTGCATCATTATGGCCAGCCTTGCACAGGATTGGATGCACTCCAAAAGCGCTAGGAAACTGGCCGGCACGACCACAAGGCAGAGTGAGGCAGCTGGCCAAGCCTCAGATTCTGAGTATAGTGCAAGAGTAACAAATTGTTAGTAGTTTCATTTGCTGTAGTTTTGCAACAGGCAAGGATAGATTTTTGACTTCAGTATATGTGCAAGGCAGCAAAATTTCTTGGGCCAACTCTGTGGTGGTGACAAATAAGTTCACACATGTATAGTCAGCCTCTCAGAAGCCTCTGGATCCCACTCATAGTGGGTACTAATCAATGAAGATTTCATTGGCCTGGACAGAGGAGTACATCCCAGAACAGGAGGGTATAAAAACAGTGGCTGGTGGGGTCTGTGCCTGAACATCTGCATACAGTTTTTGAATCTCCAAGTATCTTTAAAAAAAAAAAGATCACAGGGTAGAATCCTGTTTGTTCCTTCCAATTGTATGACAGTCCCTTGCACAACTGGGTGGACAGTTTCTGAGCTTGCATGATGAGGCATTACTGGGTATTTATTTGCACAACCTCTGAAGCTATTCACCCCCTTGTGCAAGAAACTGGTGCATGAGTGGAAGGAACAAGCATCATTCTGCCCTGTGCATTTATTTATTATAAATTATCCTTTGGCTTCTCAAGTGACCAGTTTTATGCTCACCACAATTCTATGAGGTGGGCTAGACTAAAAAAAAAATGTAAACAGTAACCAAGCCAGAATGGTCTCATGCTGGCTGGGGATGATGGAATTTGTAGTCCAGTACTGTACACCTGAAGGATATTGGCTTGGTGAGGACTACGTTGGACTGTCAGATTTTATTCAAGCAATCAGCTCTTGATGAACAGCGGATGCCACTTGAAGGGATTGCTCATGAAAGACTGGAAAGTTCTGCAATCTTCTGATGTTAAATTGTGTTCATCCAGGCTTATCATTAATAGGAGCTGCTAAGTCGCTGAGGTAAAGCTAGGCTTTTGCTTTTTAGTTGGCCCCAACTCCTGCATCTTTAAAATAGCCAGATATACCTGCTTAATTTTTGAATGGCAGGTTGCTTTGAAAGGCACAATAACTAACTAAAGATGCAATCAGACAGAGATACAGCTTGCATTTTGGACTGCTTAAGGCAAGGGCCAGCACAAGGTATTTTTTTCTGCAGACAACATAAACAAGCCTGACCCTGCTCTGTGCCCAATCTAGACTTTTCTAGTCAAGCAGCAGGGCTTATCAGATGACGGACTGTCCTTTACAAAAGGCAACTGAAAGATGGGACTTATTCTATAAATGGATTGAGACATAATATGAAGAGCATACAGTGAAATGAGAACTTAAATCTGGAAGGCAGAAAACAGTAAAAAGAGCAATTTGGAATTTTGATATGGCAATATGTATAGAATGGATGTTAGTATGTTATTGTTTCTCCTTTCCCCCCTTAACCTCAATTCCCTTTTTCCTTTCTGTCACCCCTTGTTTAAAATAATTTTTTAAAAAAAGCAGGGCTAATCCTCGTTTGGAGCTGAACTGGAACCATTCCTGTGTGCACAGAAGGGTCAATTTGAAGGAGATTGCTCCTGGTGAAATGACTCTTACCACTGCGATCAGGCATGATCCTTTATCGCCAAGCAGTCACACCCTAGAAAGGCAGTGTGATGCATTGAAACAAACAAAAAAAGAACTCCAAAGCCTTGTTTTTGTGAACGGTAACACAGCGAAGGAGACGTGGTTGGGCTCAGTTCAGGTGGAAATCATATTTCTTCTATCAGAGAGTTCTTGAGATTTTTATTCTGGGTAAAGAAATAACCCACACTGCAGCAAATATACATTAAACCTTCATCCTGACCCATATAATACACTGGAATTCTCATTGGGATCTGAAAAAGATCCCATAACTGACACAATGGAAGTTATTTTATCCTCATGCATAAGAGTTAACTAAGGCAAAAGTGAGATCAATGTAGAAACCAAGAATGGGGAACTCTCGTATAAAATAGCTTCAGTTCTTGGTGAGGGGAAGAGGGATCCAAACTGCCATCTGCCTCTGGTATTGATGAGGAATAAAGAGGGTATACATTTATATGTCGATATTAAGTCGATGAATCTGCCTCACTTTCGAGAGACAGAATGCTAACAATTTGGAGATTGTTGATAATTTTGTCCAATGGGATTGTGAGAAACATAAAGTATGGGCTATTTGTAAAGAAACCAGAGAGTGATAATAGAGGTGTGGGCACAGGTTTGGGGGTCGTCTGTTTTTTCTGCTGGACAAGATGAGCCTCTGGGCAGTGGGGCAGTGCTGCAAATGCAGTACCCTTGGTTCTGTTTTTTTTTTGTGTTTCATGCAGTGCAGTGCAACTCTACAGGGTAAATGTGACTTACCTAGTCAAAGCTTGATTGAGTAGCCCTCATTGTGCTGTGCTGACCTACTTTTTCTGCATTCTGGTTTTTAAAAAAAGAAAGGAAAGGGGGTGGTTGATTCCCTCTAAGCTATTGCTTTCAGCACATACAGTCATGTTCAACTCTCGCCAAGATAGGGAACCTGGTGAAGAATTGCCCCTTTCTCCCAACTAGGGTTGAACTCGTTCCAAAATATACTTTATGAGAATTGCAGTGTATTCCCCCAGTGCCAAATTAAGGTCAATATCATCCAACCCTGAAGCCGGCTGAGGGCATGCAAGAGCATTCAGAGCTCATTACAGCCACTCATGTAACAAAGGAAGTCTCTGGGTTGTTCTGTGTGGCGGGGGTGGGTGGGTGAATTTCGCCTTGGAGGAAGAACAGTGACACTTCCCTGCTCCCTTCCTCACACAATGAGCTCCAAATCTAGCAGTGCTATGGAGCAAGCCGTGAGCACATGGTCATATAAGGCTCCATAACAAGCTTTGAAGGTGCCACTTGTCTGAGATCTTATAAATCTTGCCCCTTCACTCGGATGGGCATGTGTCTCACTTTGCAGAGGACAGTCCTCTAGCTAAAGGGCTGTCCAGTGGAAATCTAGTTTAAAGATCAAGAACTGCTTTAGGGAAAAGTGAGCTGGCCACCCCGAGTTAGCAGATGGATATCAGGCTGAGCAGATACACAAGATACTTGGTCATAATCTTTACCCCCATGGTGGGGACACGTTGCATTTCTGGCTGAACAGCTCAGTGATTTAGGATTGCAGAGCCAGTGGTTGGGAGTTTGGTTCCCCTCTCTGCATCCTGTGAGTAGAGCCAGCCTGTGTTGCCTTGGTTAAGCTGGACAGTGCCAAGGCGCTCTCAGAAGAAGGGAATGGTAAGTCACTTCTGAGTATTCTCTACCTGGAAAACCCTGAAAAGGGCCAGCATAAGTTAGAACTGACTTGACAGCACATGATTATAATTATATATGGTATTTCTATTTAAATAATAATCATGTATTGCCGGAAAAACATCGTTATGCGATAATCGGTAAGCGAAACAGCTTACCGATCCTCACAAAGTGATGTTTTCCCATCTAAAACATTGTTATGTGATCACTTTTGTGATTGCAAAAACTCAATCGCTATGCGGATTCGTCGTTAAACAAATCGCTCGTTAAGCGAAGCACCACTGTATTCTCTACCTGGAAAACCGTGAAAAGGGCCACCATAAGCTAGAACTGACTTGACAGCACATGATTATGATTATATATGGTTTTTCTATTTAAATAATAATCATGTATTGCTAACGTTGGATATATACTCATAAATCAGTACATGCCATCTTTATGCAAATCTGTCTTCTTTCTTGAGCGATGCGTTTCTCTAATTTGGACAGCCTGCAAGTGGCCACCCTGACCTATACCTTTCCTCCAAGCCTTGCCCTTCTGTGGGTCCTATGTGACATTTTTCTCCAAACCAAGCCTATCTTCAATACCAGTGACTTCAAACGCACTGGTTTTTCATTTGTTTTCCCCTTTTGTGGCTGATCTCTCTCATACACCCATTTCCCAGCAAGCACACATTCTCCATTCATTGTTATTAGACCACCCATGATATCATAGCAGGTCAGCCAACGGCTGGGGAAACATTTTTATAACTTGTGGGAAGAAAGACAGCCAGTTTATAGCCTATTGTGCCTCTAAGAATGCTGAAAAGCCTTAGCCTGATTAGTTCAAAACCAGGACACAGCAGGAAATTTCATTCGGGGAGATTAGTACTAAGAAGATTCATTGTTGTTTGCTTTTGGTTCCTTGTCTGCCTGAAGAGTTAAATTACAAAACGGCAACAGGATCAGGAGACTGGCCTGTCACTAACATGATGCCGTTCTGATCTGTCATTGCAATTCATAAGGGCCAGCTGAAGAGAGCAGCCCTCGTTGCTCGAAGGTAGGCTCACAGAGGTCTGCCCAATTGGTTGGAGTGCCCAACTAATGAGGAGAAGATAGAAAGTACAGGGTCAAATGCATTTGAGAAGCTAGCCATGGGGCCCTGACAGTGATGACAAGAGAAGCAGCTTTGTCTGTGAGTTGTTAAAGGAGGCCATCTATGTCCTGTACTGACATTCAAAATCCTGGGCTTGGGCACAAATTACACAGAATAGAAAAAAAGCTGCATCTTGATCCTGTGAAATACTAGCAAATGTGCAAACATTTCAGATGATTTTCATAATAATTTAAGAGTCGGGCAGAGGGAGGAATTAAGTGTGGGCACTGAAACTGTACCTTCCCCTTCAGCACACGCATTCACGCTAGTGTCCCGAAGATTTCAGCAGGAACAACCCATGTGTTTGTCCTTGACAGGCTTTAGAAAAGTTTACCTCACAGCTGGGAAGTTCAAAAAGTTGTAGTCCAGAAAAAGAGAAACCTTGGAATTCTGGGAGTTGTGGTCCAAAGACACACATCTGCACCCCTCTGTTTACCACTACAAGGCATAGGAACTGTTTTGAAGATAATACTATGAAAGCATGCGGCTTATCAAGAAATCTAATGTAGATATGCTGTGGCTATGAAAGTGGCCTCCCTCAGCCAGGACAGTAATATTCTACCCATCTCTGTAGGAAGATCCTGATTTCTGCAGGGCTTTATTCTCTTATCAATTCATTAGAGAGCCTGAAATAACAGCAGTGTAATGTGCACCGCCTGCATCTTGTGAAACAGTTTAGATATCCTTGTATCCATGTTCCTTTCCAATATCCATTTTAAAGACTCTCCAGAGTCCATGTGAGTGACATTCCTCCAGAGAGTCTGATCAAGTCCTGTGAGCAAAAGTTGGAGGAGTTGGATGGGGCATAGCCTGAAAACCACATGATTAAAGGGCAATGTAAAAAAAACACATATTCACATATTTGAAGGTCTGCCTCATAGATGATGGAGAACATTTGTTATTTGTAAGTGAGCTGTTTTAGTGGGTCTGGGGGTGACTTTTCCACTCCAGGGGCCACATTGGCTACCAAAAAAGGGCCAAAATCTCCCCTCCACCAAAATTAGAGAAATATTAGTTCCACTTCCAATTTTGGAAAAGTGGATATTTAGAAATATAAAATGGAATAGGAAGGCTACATCATGTATTGAAAAGATGAAGGGCTAGAAGGTTCCAGAAGGATATTCATTCTATATTAAGAAGAAAGTCCTGACTTTTGCGAGGCCTGTTAGAGTGAGGTGGCCAAGACCTCCAGGTGTTCGGGGCAAATTTATAGCCTTTGAGAACTCTCATGGGCTCTACCACTGAGGACTGAAAACCTCAAGGAGGGGAGGATAAAAGTGCTGTACTTTCTACAAATTAAAATGCTGCATTTTAGTCAATCAAAGTTCAATATGCTATCAAGTGCTTATGTAGCGATATATGTGATTTTGACCAAAAAAAGAGAGATTATAATGCTTGTTCATTTGTGGCCTGTGTCTTTCATTTATGTCATTTTAAAAGACTGAAAGTTCAGCACAGTAATATGTTTACTTGGAAATAAATCCTACTGAATTTGCTAATCTTAGTCCTAAGAAAATGATTAAAGAATTGCAGCTTTTACAGTATGTCCAGGAAGGGCCCAATCAGACATTAATTCGTCCTTCTTTTTGATCCACTTCAAGGATGGTTTTGTTCATTCTTTTTTCTGCTGATCACACGACACAATTGCTGGAGTGAACCAAACTGTCCCCAGAGCAAGCCTACTTGCAGTTTGTAAAGTTTGTTCATTCTTTTTTCTGCTGATCACACAACAGAATTGCTGGAGTGAACCAAACTGTCCCCTGTCAGGGGCTTTTACTTTTTTGGTACAAGCAGGGTGGCTCTGGTTTGGTCTATTTCCAATACAGGTATGTGTAATTGCTGGAAATGGACCAAAAGCAAGCCTTCCTGATTGTCAGCGCTCCATCCATTTTGAATTTCAGCTATCCTGAAGTGGCTTAATAAGCAAGCCACTTCAGGATGTCGGCAGACTGAACATTTCTTCTGCTTTTCGGCAGAAGGACAGGGATGATTATGTTTTTTTAAAAAAAGATTCTAATACTAGGCTTATCACTGAAGCACTGCATTATTTAATGTGACCAAGTGACCTATTTTGCCTGCACCAGCCTGCTCCCATAGAGCTAGTGTAGAGACGCCCTGAATTAATTTTTCCAGCAGATACGTTTTTAATTCTTTTAGGATATCCTTTGGACACACCCAGACAGCCGTTTTTAGAACTGAGAGATGAATGGTGCCTACAATTCTTTTTTTAAATCAAAATGTGTGATGGTAAGGAAGGCATTGCCTCAGTACATGTGCAGGGTGCAAATCCATTTTAGAACTTTATTAACTATTGATTTTGCCACAAGGCAATAGCTGTAGGAGTCTTTTTCCCATTTCAGTTTATGATTAATTCATGAGCTGAAAATTTCAATTTTCAAGAAAAAAAGTATGTCTTTTTCCATGCTGTACTTCTCTTATGTTACCTAAGCAATCCCAATGTGTGACATTATATTTATAAGGCATGAAATGGAAACCTCTCCCCACTGCTTGCTACCACAAGAACAAAAATGATTACAGAGCAGAAGAAAATAGCTAGGTGGTGCAGGTGGGTGGGTGTGACAAAATGCAGCTGAACAGGTCGCAAGATGAGTTTCTTTGAAGGCAGACAGCTTTCTGCAGCCTGGAAGTTTCTAGTTGTGTTGGCCTCCACTTTGCCCAGCCAAAAACGGTTTTGTGGGATTTATAGTCTATTTGGGGGAAATTGTCAGATTGTGGAAAACAATATGTGCTTCCCACAGAACCAGTAATAGGTGTGCCAATAGTGATCAAGGGTAACTAACAACCCACATACCCTTTTTCCAATGATTATTTCCAAACTTATTTTCATTAACAGTTAATGCAAATTAAATCGATAAAAAATGTTCACTACCTAATAGTGAATAATGACAGTGAATGCCATCATATCACTCTCTGGTGCTGTTGATTTTGGTTATTTAATGTTACTCAAAGTAGCTTATAGAGTGATTTTTGAGTGATTATTTATAGCATTTGGGCTTATGAAGCTCTGTTGCATGGATGTAATAGCCATTGCAATGCATTGACGTAGGCAAGCTGGTGTTGTCCAGATGTTTTCATTTCCGTTTCCCTAATCCCTGGTCATTGGACCAGCTGGGGATGATGGGAGCCATTGTCCCAAAATGTTTGGTGGGTGCCAAGTCACCTCCTTATGCACTCAATGGAAGGTACTGTGTGTCTTCTCCTTTCTAAATTTACAGTCCACCCCTATCTATGTTGGGTAGGCTAGACAGGAACTGGCACAAGTGGGGAGTGTAATGGAGTTATGGATGTAGTGATGGCTGGCAGTGATTCCAGTTTCAGGGATACTGTAAATCCAGTCTTGGTTTTAGTCAGCACTTTTCATGAGCTGTCCGAGGTGCTGAAGTTATTTGGGGATAGGACTCATTACCTTAGATCAGTGGTTCTTAACCATTGTTACTGGGATGTTTTTGAACTGCAACTCCCGGAAACCCCAGCCAGCACAGTTGGTGGTGAAGGCTTCTGGGAGTTGCAGTCCAAAACTCCTGAGTAACCCAAGGTTAAGAACCAGTGCCTTAGATAGTCTGCATAAAGTGCAGACAGAAACTCAGAGTGGAAACACAGCACCACCAAAACAAGTCACCAGCTGCTGCTAGAGGTGTAGAGATTTGTGCATTTGGACGTAACTCCCAGAATTATCCAAGCATCTGGGAGTTGTAGTCTAGAAAACACCTCTAGCTGACACTGGATGTAAGAGGAAGTGAGATGAGGCCAAGGTACTAGCAGAGTCCCAGCACCTGTGTATTTTTTCTGTGTTGAACTGACAGCGGATGGGGGTAAGATTTGTTTGTTTGTTTTGCTTCTTGCTCTGACTTTTCTGTTTCTGTCTTGCAGTGTAAACTGGAGCAGCAAGCCTGCCTGACCAGCAAGCAGCTGACAGTCAAGTGTGAGGGACAGTGTCCCTGTGCCCAGGGCCCAACCTCAGCCACTGACAGCAAACAAGGTCAGAAGGAGTGACCCCCCCTCCACAGCCCATAGGTTTACCGCCTTTTGTTTCTTGCTTCCAAACAATCAGCCTGTCAGTAAGAACCTGGGGCCTATCATAAAAGAAAGCTCACATTTTCCAAGAGGGACATTTATATGTTCATAGTTAACTTTGTTGTTAAATTTGTCATTTCTGGTTTTGAGGATATAAACATTGCAATAGAACCTCTAAGAATGAGCACAGACCAAAACAGCAGTGTAGTAATAAAGTTAAATGTTATTACAGGAATAGTAAAGGCAACACACAAAGATAATAAAATTAAAACTTTGGTGCGTTTGCTGAGAATGGCCAGCATCCTGTTCCATAACTCAGCTGGCATAACAGGAATGCTGTCGCCAGTACCCAGACCTAAGTCCCCTACCTCAGTGGTTCTTAACCTTGGGTAATCCAGGTGTTCTTGGACTGCAATTCCCAGAAGCCTTCACCACCAACTATGCTGGTTGGGGCTTCTGGGACTTGCAGTCCAAGAACACCTGGGTTACCCAAGGTTAAGAACCACTGCCCTACCTCATTACTGCATCTTATGTTACCTTAAAGTGTCTTCTTTCTATGCTAATGAGAAAGTTACCACTGTTTTGCATTTAACCATATATCCACAACCCATCTTATTTTTTTCAGAGCTTCAGAAAGTTAACTTTTGGGATGACAGCTCCTGGAACCCTCTCAGCTGGGAGATTTCTGGGAGCTGTAATCCAAAAAAAAGTACAAAATTTTAGGTTCTCACTCATATTGTTTGGAAACTGACCTCTACATTTGTGGGATTTTGACTGGCATTCAGTTCCAGTTCAAGTAATAACAGTCTAAAAATTGGTTCAGCACACCTGTTCAGTTTACAGAAATCAGACATAGATAACCAACCATATGGCATCATATTTGCAGAATGAAGAGAAGTTAGTATGTAAGTGACTTGCTGGAACTAAGTAACAGCAAACGGTCAGCCCTGACCCATGAAAAACCAAGAAGCATGCATGAAATAAAAGGCAGTAGGATGTTCTTACTGCTTTTGTATACAGCTGTCATCTGATTAACAGAAGCCATAGTCCATTAATTAAGAGTTTTACTCGATTAATCAACCCTACATTTGCAACATGTTTTTTATGTTTGCAGCTTTTAATTTAAGTAAAAGAAGTTCAAGTAAATTTTTAGTCTTTGCACATTCCGTTAAAAAAAGAGATGAGTGTGAAGGTTAGGGAAAAATGGGGTGGGGAGAGCACATTAAACTCATAAGCCATACTTTGCCCACCCTTGCTTTAATCCTTTAAAAAAACATGCATTAGTCCAATCTGCTGCTTCCCTGTCCTACAGAATGTCAGAAAATAAGCCCAAGCTGCCTTGATAAGAATAAGGCGCATTTCTGATCCCATGACTCTCCCATCTTCCAGCTTGGGGCACTCATCTAATAAAATGAGCATTTGATTTACAGAAACATGTACTGGACAAGACTTGGCAGATCTGGGGGATCGTCTGCGTGACTGGTTCCAGCTCCTGCATGAGAACGCCAAGCAGAACAGCTCTGGAAGTCCTGGGACCAATCCAGTGAATGGTATGAAAGTAGCAAGCAGGGTCCTATAGGCACAGTCAAGCCGTGTCCTTCATAGTGTTGTAGAAAGGCTGGAAATGGGCCATGTCAATCCTAAAATCAACTCTATTTAAACTCATTTGACCACGGTTAGAACCAAATGGGTTGCCTTCTTCCCAAGGAACAATTACTCCAGAAATATCCTCTGGTACAGGCATCCTTGCAATCCACAACTTCAAATCTTGAGCAAAATCTTGAACACATTGAGCAAAAAAAAGGAGTTCTAATTTTTTCACTGATACACTAGCTTCTTGTATGCAGGGAACTTTTGAAATGAATGAACACTGGACTATGATTCATCATTTTCAGCCTGGAGTGGAATAGACCTGGTATCTTACTCTGCTACGGGATTTCTCCACATTTCACCTTTTCTTCCATTTCTTTTTCCTGCAGTGTACTAGGACGAGGAGGGCCATTTGGTGGCAGGGGTGCAGAAAATGGCAGGGGACAGTAAATTAGAAGGCCTGTAAGCCAAACATAACTTAGAAATACTCTGGCTTTAGCAGCACAGAAAAATAGTGTTAAACTTTTTCCATAGTTTCAGGATAAACACAATAAGGCTTTATACGCCATAGGCTATGGAGGAGAAGGGAGAAAATGGGTTAGCTGTACTGTGGAGATTGAGAGAGAGAAATCGCTTCTCAGAATGAATGGGCATCTCCAAGAGGAAGGATTTGTTTATTTTGACAGAGTTTGCACAGCAGATGCTCCAGGTGGTTTGTGCCTCTTCTGTCTGTCAATATTTTTTCTCTGTGTCTCCCCCCCACACACATTGAAACTAAATGGTATGGATGTGGCTTACTAGTGCCAGTTTAGCCATTCTGTTCAAAGTGTTACAGGCAAAGGGCTTTTTAAAAAAAAAGATAGTCACTCCATTTCTTTTTCCTGCAGTGTACTAGGAAGAGGAGGGCCATTTAGATAGTCATGTTAGCCTCTTGCAGCAAAAACTTATTAAGACTTAACAAGTTTTCACTTGGTATAAGCTTTTCTAGTAAAAGTAGCTTATGATGAAAGGAAGTGCATTCCGCCCCAAAATGTACATTACAGATAACCTGTCATTAGAAAAGGAAATCCCCAAAGTGCTGATGGAATGTGGTTTTGTCGTTTCTGTAGTTTGCAAAATAGCTTTCTTTATTTTGTGATTGGTCTTGGGGAGCAAAACATGATTTGCAAATCTGATTTCTCAGGCACGAAACATGGCTTGAATCATTGATGCCTAGTAAATAAATGTGCCTGGTGTCTGAAAACAAACTATTTCAGCTGTAATGACAGCTTATTCTCCATGATATGGATCGGCTCCAGATCTTTTCGATGCGACTATGTTTTGTTTAAGTGCCCTTAAATTCGTTCTCAAACTAGTCGTTGCTTTAATCTTGGGGGGGGGGCGGTTATTGCGTGAAAGCTGCCATGTTCTCAATTACTACAAACATGCGGCTTGGTATGCCATCCAGGCAGAGAACATGGGTTCCCTACAAAGGCAGGTCAGTCTTGGAGAATGGTCTTGAAAGCGTGGGTCGTGCTGGGTGCTGGCAGAAAATTTCTAATTGCAGAAAGGCATCTTGGTCAATAGTGAGAAAGACCCATCTTTTTCATGAAGCCTGCTGGCTGATGCTTGGGTCGTGTATGTAAGCCACCCATCCACCCAGCCCCGTCCGTGCCTTGACAACAAGGTAAAATATTCTTGTGTGCTTATTTAAAAACAGTTCCCAGAGCCTTGAGGAGGAGAGCTGACAGATTGGTCCTGAAGCATATGGAGAGTGTGAGAATTTCGATCGATGGGGAGGGAGATAGTTACTTTAAATGGCATTGAGCAGAAACCATGTGAACCAAATGCTTCTCCTGCTGGGATTGCTTTGGAGGAAGTCGGCAGCACTTGCTGCATTTCAGGCCCACGCTTTCCAGTCACCCTTGGTGGGCTGTTTTTGTCCTCCGGCTTTTGTAAGCCACAGTGGCTTTCCTCCAGCTGCTAGAAAGTCTGTCTGAGGCCAGGCAGATGGATGGACACCTCATGCATTGCACAGGGGATAGAAGGGGAAACAGGTGTTGTGGAGAAAAATCAGGGCCTTCTTTCCCTTATCCACAGCTTGTTTCTTAGAGGGCTGGGTTGAGCCCAGAGTAGTTTCCATCAGGGCACTTTCAGTCCCTTTTGGATGAGCTGCCAATGTTTTTCTTCATCTACAGTGGTGCCCCCCATAGCAACAATAATCCGTGCAGCCAAAATCGTCGCTATACGGATTTGTCGCTATACGAAATAAAAAAGCCCATAGGGATGCATTAAAACGCGTTTAATGCATTCCTATGGGCAAAAAAATTACCTTTATGCGAAAATCCTCCATACGGCCGCCATTTTCGCTGCCCGGTAAGTGAGGAATGGGTGCGAAAACACAGCGGGCGGCCATTTTTTACCCAGCGGCCATTTTGGAACCGCCGATCAGCTGTTGGGAAACATCGTTATGTGAACATCGGTAAGCGAAACAGCTTACCAATCATCATCAAGCGATATTTTCCCATTAGAAACATTGTTATGCGATCGCAAAAATGATCGCAAAAAATTGTCGCTGTGTGGATTCGTCGTTAAACAAGGCGCCCGTTAAGTGAGGCACCACTGTATTTCTCTATTTACTGCATTTCTATCCCTCCCATCTCCCGAAAGGGACTCAAAGTTGTCATAGGCCTCACTTCCTCCCATCCTTGTTTGCTTTTAGTTTGGCTGCAGGAAGGACTGAAACAACAGCTGCTGTCTTCTCAAGCACTCGTTTTCCATCCAGATATTTGGACTTTCCTGACCTTCAGAATCCCTGACCATTGGCCAGCCATGCAGTAGCTTCTGGGAATTGGAAGTCCAAAACATCTGGACAGTCAAAGGGCAAGAACTACTGCTCTAAGGGACCAGATTTGACCCATGGGCTTCCAGTTGCTGACTTTTATGATGTACAGATACTTTCATAGATTCTGCTTACTGAACTGTGGTTCTAGCATTTTGGATTTCCAATTCAAACTTTCAGGCCTACCAGCACAAAATTAATGTCTGTGTCAAAGATTGACTCCTATCCCACTTGGGCATCACCACTTCATCTGTCTAAGCTATATAATCTCCGTATCCTCTGCAGACTTATAATTTAAAAAAAAAAATTCACACCAAGGAGAGCTGGATCCTGTGGTCTATATAAATTATGCAAATCAATATATGTGATACCTTCAGCAAAGGGAGACCAGTACTGATGGTGTTCCTGCTCCCAAACTACAGGACATTCTGCCTATGGTTCCTCCATGTAGCTTCTGATAGTTCACCGGCACTGCTTGCACATTTTTGCTGTGCAGTCTTTACAGTGCTCAGGGCTGGGAGCTAGCTTCAGTGGAGGCTGGCGACTCCTGTTTTAGAAATGCACTGAATCCACTCTGTGTTTGAGTCTGCATTTGACAAGAGTTAGTCCAAGGTGCTAAATCCATTTGAGGGATATAGTCCGTCACCTTGCATTGCTTCTCTAAAATGAAGATTAAAACCCAGAATGGATTCATAGCACCTCTGAAACTGGAGTCATTAGCCTCTTTAGCTAGCTTGCAGTGCTGCAGGATATTCTCACCTCCTTCTAGACTTCAGGGGTTCAGTTCCTCCAGGATAATCCTGCTCATCCCCTACCTCTCAGGGGCTTTTTTTGTTATCTGTGGCTACTGAGAGTATCACTCTCCACTGGGCTGTTCCTTGATGATTTTGTCTCCTTTTTTGTATTGCTGCATAACTTGGGATCTACCCATACATGGAGATGCTTCCCTCTTGTTTCCCAGCAGTTTGTTTAGATTCCAGATCTATTGATGCTTGTCTAGCTGGGTTCATTTTTAGAGGGGATGATGACAGCTTAGAGTCCCAGGGTACTGCAGTCAGCCTCCAGACATTGCCCCCTAGAATCACACTATATGCACTTCCCAATTTCAGCTTTTTGTGTGTGCATGTGGAGGGCATAACAAAGGCACTTTGCCTTTGACTCACTCTTCTCTCTGCCTCCCTCCCTCCCTATTGTTGTTTTGTACCATCTGTTTGTAGTGCTGGACAAAAGCCTGGTGGCCAGTTGCAAAGACTCCATTGGTTGGATGTTTTCCAAGCTGGACACCAACAGCGACCTTTTCCTGGACCAGACGGAGTTAGCGGCCATCAACCTGGACAAGTATGAAATCTGCATCCGGCCTTTCTTCAATTCCTGCGACACCTACAAGGACGGCCGTGTCTCCACCGCAGAGTGGTGCTTCTGCTTCTGGAGAGAGAGTGAGTCAACACAAGGTTTCCTCCTAGAAGTGGCAGTCTTGTGTGTTAGCAACTTGCCGTCAGTAATACTCTGCCATTCCATATGGAGTGCGAATTCATTATAGTAGATGCTCAAAGACATGCACACGCTGACAAGTCAACTGAATGCTTCTCCCACACATTCATTTACACTACGGCTGCTGTCAGATTTCTGGGAACAAAACAAAGAACGTCTTGGCTGATGTGTATACCGTGGGATAGCTCTACGCTTAAAGCTGATTTGAATAGGAGCATCCAATGGGAAAAATAGTGCAGTGCTTAATATTTATCCAGTGCTTGCTGTTTTCTAAATGCTTAGAATGGTTTGGATTTATTTTCCTGCTTTCAAGATTTCAATACTGTTTTTCAGAAGAAAGCCTCCCCCATTTGATTTGTAGAGTGAAAAAAAATCCATGAAATATAAAATGTGGTCATTTTAAACAACATGAAACATTTAAATTTAAAATAGCCACAAGGGTAATCGTGATAGTATGAGCCATGGTGTTATCTTCATTTTAAAACATTTTGGAACTACCAGGCCTTTATGTCCCATTTGAAAACAGCCAGAAAGGGACCCACATATACCCCCCACAACAGGACACTCTGCAGAAATGAGGCCCAGCGCAGAAAAGGCCCAGCGTCTTGTCCCTTCAGACCTAATAAATTTTATCACCAGGTACAAGAGCTCGGCCTCTGTTGTTGACCTTATAGCTGAGCAACTTTGTGTGAGTGTAGACATTCCTTCACCTGCTCCATTATCTTTATTTTAAATTATATTATCTTTATAATCATTATAGCAAACCTGTGAGCGCAGTAGTACTGTCACACCCTTGGTAAGTGTTGTGGGAGGGAGGGTAGCAAGTGATCGGCAAGACCATTACCTGAACTGTGAGATACCTTGAAGTGGTCTGGCGAACTGGGATGGATCAACGCTTTGCTTTTGGTGTTACAGAGCCTCCCTGCCTTGTGGAACTGGAAAGGATTCAGATCCAAGAAGCTGCCAAAAAGAAGCCCGGTGAGCCCCAGGCATGGTTTGGGGGCTGCTTGCGAAAGGAGGGGAGGGAGTTCTGTTTCCCTTAACATTTCATTTAAAAGTGCAGCACATCTACTACTGCTAGCCACTGCCTATATGCTAGGAATCACTTGGATTTGTCAATGAGTAGTAAATAATGTCCATACGCTTGTGAGTCCTTCAGGTGTTCTGAGGGCTTTGTGTACATCAGGCATGAACAAAAGAAAGTAGATCAAAGTCCACTGGGAGATCTCTGGGTGATCCGCAGCATGTAGGCAAGGCGTTTCCTGTTCCAGTTTTTTAATGGAATCAACAGCAAAAAGAGTTGCGTGTGCACTCATGCATGCACGCACATGCACACGCACGCGCACACACATGCGCACACACACACGCGCACACACACACACGTGCACACACACACGCGCACACACACACACACCATTGGGCTGCTGAAGTGATAAATGCTAGTGAAGAATGGGAAAGGACTGTGAGATCAGTTCAGTTTGAGTCCCACATACAAACTCCCGGCCATATCTTGTTTAGAAGTGCCTTCTTCTTTAATGTGGATGATGTGTCTTCTGCTCATAGTTCTTGCTCATAATCTTGGGGGTTGAGTGAAAAACAGCACAGAGCGAACAAGCCTAGAGTTTGTCCACTCCTGCCATGCATGACAAAATATGAGAGAGACTGACTCCATAAAAGAAGTCACAGGCTTGGGTTTCACTAGCTGAGTAGGGCTGTTGAGGACTGGACATTGGAGGTGACTTGATGGCCTGTTGCAGCAAGCAGCAGCCATACCTGATGTCAGCCCCCGGAAGAGCCCTGTAAGATAGGTTCGAATTTTTCTTTTGCCCATTTTGCAGGCAGGACTGAACTGCAAAATGGAAAGACAGCAACTTGCCTAAATCTGTGGCTCAGATAAACCAAAGAGAAATTGGACAGGGGACACCTGGTTCATGATGTGACACAGTTCTGCATCTATGCAGCGATGCCCCTTGTTTAGCAATTTTCTACAGATGTGCAAGTCTATCAGGCTTGCTCTTAAAGAGTTTTCTCAGTTTCCAGCTGGCATTCTTATCCCGCTGGCCTTACCTGTGCGTTTTCAAACAGCGTGCATTTTTGCATGAATTTTCTTCCTGATGTCTGCGTTCTCGTAAACATTTCTGCATCAACTAAACTGTGTTGTTGTATATCGTGGAAATGAATATATTGTTACCCATGCACAATTAAACAACAACAGGCGTTTGGCATTGCGCACACTTCTTTTCTCTGAAATACATTGCAGACCTTGACAGCGTAGAGATTTCTGGGGCAAGATGCCTTTCATTCCATTCTCAACCTCAGATACGTGTATTTCTCATTCAGAAATGCAGACCCCACCAATGACTTCCCCATGCCTTGCTGTTTGCCTGAGGCAAAGTGAATTGTGTACCCAGCTGTTTCCTTTCTTGGACTGAGACAAAATGCTTCAGTGTGCAGTGCATAGAAGCGTAATCCCTCCAGCATGAACTGGAGCATTCATGCCAGGCTGGCGCATAAGCCCTGTCACTCTGTCATTGTGTTGGGGGGGCATTTCAGTTTTCGTGACCTGTCCCACTGGCCTTCAGACAAATAGCCTTTTATTATGTTCCACCTCTGCCTTTCCCCCCATGGGGAGCTGATCCCAGCCTCTCAGTGCAGCTTGACAGATCTGCAGAGAAACCTGTTTAGAAATAAGTGTGCGTGCCAGCGGGTGAGTGGGTAGGCGGGCGTTTTGGAGACAGTAGGGTTCTTTTTCCCCTGAGGAGTTGAAAGAGACTAGAGAGAGATATGAATCCCAGAGGTTTTTATATACTTAGTTCTTTTGTTCATCGCCAGCTCTGGTTTTTTTAAAGGTTTTTTGAAATGTACAAAACCTGCCAAACCTGTTTATAAGAAGCAAGAAAAGGAGGTGGAGATGGGGGGGGTCACTACCGTAGCAGCCTTTTAGACTGTCATCATATCACCCTGTCATCATCGGATTCTGGAAGCTAAATTGGGTGATTATTCTTCGGATGGCAGACCAGATGGAGTACCAGGGATCTCCAGCTAGCTGAACCCCTGGAGGCCTGCTGTTGGCCAGAGTGGACAATGATTGGTTTAGTACAAACCTATGATCAAAGGGAGCAGGCAAGCCCTGCCAACGCCATCCTCATGCTTGGATGGTGTCCTTACTGTCCGTGGCAACTTGGGTGATTGGAAGCTATGTGAAATCAGAGAATATTCCATGAAAATAAAAAACACCATTCCCAATTTCGATACCTATATATTAGGACAAAGAATTTGGGGAGGCCATTTTTGCCCAGCTCTGGGTTTTAGAACTTAATTTTACCAGGCCATTAATCATGTGTATGGATTTCCTCTTCCATTTTTCCTTGTATGCATGAAAGTAATCTTGAGAAGGAAGATTTCAGGTTTAATTGTGGAAGCTTATTTTAAACAACAGTGTGGGCTTTTGTTGTTGTTTTGAATGACACACTGCTCAAAGGGCCAATTCTTAAAGGCTTCCACTGGATTCTTTGTTATGGTCGTTGATAATGGCCTTGCTGCCAGGGAATCTCTGCACCTCTGATTTGAAAACAGAGTGGTGCTGATTTTCCTGGGAATAAATACCTGCTGGGGCACCTGCTGGGGCTAAATTCTCATTGGCCTCAGTTCCTGTCTCACTGTGTTGTGTTTATTGTTTCGCCCAGGAGTTTTCATTCCCAGCTGTGACGAGGACGGCTACTATCGCAAGATGCAGTGTGACCCAAGCAGTGGAGAGTGTTGGTGTGTTGACCATCTTGGTATGGAACTGACAGGAACAAGGATGCATGGGAATCCAGATTGTGGTAAGAAACATGGGGAAAGAGAAAGGAACACACAATACCACTGCATTGGCACAATTAAAACGGTTGCACCTACTGTGTCTGCTCCTGGAGAGATCTGATCTGGCCACAGCGAAACATTTCCTCGAGCCTTTGCAGACTTCCTGCGAGCACATTGCAGCCCCCGGGGGTCTGCAGACCACAGCTGAAGAACCTATGGCCTAACCTGTTCAAAAAAGGAAGCTCTTTCTGGAAGCTTCCTTTTTGAATAGAAAAGTGGGCAGTAGTAGGCCAGGAAGCCTTCCAATTTTGGACTTTCTCCCAAATAACCCACATTTAGGTGTCTCTCTCTCTCTCTCTGTGTCTGTTAGGTGGGACTCCCAGAACAGAGAACTCTGGGATTAGCAGTCCAACAATCCCCCAAAAAACAAAAAGACAAAAATAAGAGATGTTGAGGGAAGGAGGAGAACTGGCTCTCTTAGTGCTGGACAGATACACGGAATCTCCCAGAACTTTAGATGTTTTTATTAGATGTTTCTTCAGAATGACCTGACCTCTTTGACACAAGAGGATAAATTGAGAATGGAGACCAACAAAGAATTCAGCATGATTTTTTTTCTAGACAAGAGCAGCCTAATTATCTGTTAATGTCGTTGCCCCTTATCGACAACCAACTGTCGCAAAATAGCATTTTAAAAAATTAACGCTGTAGCATGGTTCACACTGTCTCCATTTTTGCAAAATCATAATAATCTGAGGTCTGAGGTAACCAGTGCCAGTCTTTTTACCATCTTCTCTCTGTCCTCTTCTTTTCTTGTTCTTCTTGTTCCTGCAGATGACATTGTTGGATTCTCAGGGGACTTTGGGAGCGGTGTCGGATGGGAAGACGAGGAAGAGAAAGAGACCGAGGAAGCTGGCGAGGAGGCTGAAGAGGAGGAGGGAGAGGCAGATGATGGAGGCTACATCTGGTAGAAGCAGCTATCACAAGCACAGTTTGGTCGGGATGCTGGCTGTAGGGCTGGGAGACAGCAGACAAAACTCACAGGAGAGGAACAGCTTAACAAGATGATCAGGAAACACAGTTGAATGTAACTAACTATGGCAGAAATTGTGTGAGTGTGTATGTGTGCGAGAGTGAGTACGTATGCGTGCCTGCCTGGGTGAGTCTGTTCTCTTTAACTATGGTCGTGGAGGTGATCTGTTTTCTTCTATCTCACAGAAGTCAATGCTGTTATCAAGAAACTGGGCGGGGGAGGGTGAGTGCTTTGCACTATAGGTTCAAGGAGGTCTTTTTTAAAATAATAATATCAATAATAATGGTTTAGTAATTTAATAGTAATTTAATTTTTACTTTCTGGATTGTCAGTAACCCATTTCAACTCCAAATCAGGCTTGTTAAGGTATAAGAAATATGTTTGCCTGTCCCCTGGATATCTCTAGCTGTGATTATCTAGCAATATCCTGCAGTTGTGGATGCGTTGTTATACCCAGATGCACCAGATCACTGCCGGCATTTTGCAGGCATACTCTGCAAATGGGCAGGAGATCAACCCAGCATGCTGGAGTCTTTGTTGCAGTAGAGAAGGAGCAATCACCAGGATATGATGGACAGGCCGAGGGATTAGGAGCAGCCCCTACTCCTTCCTCTGAATGTCACATCAAGGACCGTATTGCCCAGGGCTAAGCAGCATATTTGCTGGTTCTAACATGATGCTATCGTATCAAGGATTTTTCCAGTGCGGAGAAGGAACTCTAAGATCCTTTCTTCTGGCACGTTCCTCTGGAAATCATTGTACCAAGTTAATAGCTGACTTGTTACCATTTCTGGCAGTCTTGTTTGTGGCTGTTGTTTAGAGAGTCCTAGACAGAGGATTTCCAAACTTGCCTTCGTTTTATCTCTTTGCTTCCCATTTAATTGGCATACCAGCTAGGACGGTGGAATGGGAAGCTTCCTGATCATCTCTGGATGCCCAAACAGAAGATGTTTGGACATGGAAATGATGGAGAATGCTACTGAAGGGAAAGACTAAAGAGATTAAAATGTTTTGGGAAGACAAATCAGAAAGGCAGAAAAGGTGACTCAAAGCAGAAAGCAGCCCCAGCTGGAAATCATACCCCATTAGGAAGGATAAACCAGTCACTTTGGAGTTTTTACCATTTGTTTCACTGTTGGCTGGTTCATTTCTCAAGAGGCATGGTGCTTTCTTCCTGTGTTGTTTTCCAAGTGGGTGGAGTTTCCTGCTTTTCTTCTCAATTGGGCTAAAGCACCATGACAAATTGTGATTCTCTTATTAGAAGAGAAGGTCTCCACTTCCACATATTTACAGACTCTCAGTGCTTTGTAGGCATGCTTTGCAGCCAGGTCTGCCCTTCTGTGACATAAACAAAGGATATGTGGGTTTGTGTGTGCGTGTGTGTGTGTGTGCATGGGTGTGCGTGGAGAATGGGGAACAGCCAGCTTGGCTTACATTGAGCATTCCATAGCTTATGCAAAACTGAGCTTCCAGTAGAGCCATGTAGACTTGATGTGCTTCAGCATATCCTTCAAATATACGGAATAACCATGGGATTTTTAAATGAGCTAACCTCCCAGTCAGCCTAGTTACTTACTTGCAGTGGTCCCATAACAGAGAATTCTGTTGTAGCCCAGCTGTGACAATAAAACGCACCTTGATGTGTTGATCTCTCTAACTTCCTTCTTGCCCAGGCTTACTCTTTCTATATGTCTCTGTCTATACACTCATATACACACATGCATGCTCCTTTATTCCGCTATTTCCCTGTCCTTTCTAGCAGGAGAATAGTAAATTATGACTGGGAGAGATTTCAGTGTATCAGTACCAGAAGGGAATGATCGTCTCAGTATGAGCCTTACATTCGTTGGTTTCCTTTTTCTTAGAACTTACGGTTTTGTGTCATCCCCTCTCTCCCATCTCATTCTGTCAACATCCTGTTACAATGTACCTAAGGTTTGGTTTCTGGAAACCCCACTTTGCAATATCCTAACTTCTTCGTCATGGCTTTTGGGGTCTTTCTTCTCCTTTTTTGCACCCTGCCTCTGTGTGTCTGGAACTGGGGTTCTGTTTCCCAATTATGCATGTCGACTGACTTGTAAATATCTTTTTTTTTCAAATCAAAGAAGTGAACATTGCTAATGGAGCCCCAAATTAATTGCAAACAAGGAGGATAGACATTATTTGTTAGACTTGATGGGATAGCCAGAAGGAACATTTGTTTTGGCTGCATTTAACCAGACTTACAATTTGGCCTTTCTTGTTCTTCATTCAGTTTTGACATCTGTGTAGCTTGGGACAGACAACAGTGGTGTTGTTCTTCGAAAGAGTCAAAGGTAGACTGACAGTGGCCCATGGGACACAACAGTATCTCATCCTACTACTGCCTCTGTTAAAATAGCTTTCATATGCTTTTGTGTTAAAATTGAACTGTTCAGAATCTCATGTGTTCAAAAACATATGGGATTAATGGAAGAGAAGAAATCAGTGTGTGTGCTGGGGAAAATTATGACAAAGCAATCCCTGTGCTATTCCACTGTTAGCATATTTTGTGTGTGTGTGTGTGTTTATAAAAACCTGAAAAACTATTCCGTCTTTAGTTTAAGCTTGTATGTGTCAGGTTGGGAGTATGACACCTGAACATCTTGCTAAGACGCCTGCAAAACTTTATAGACCTCTAGGGAAAAAAATCAGAAGCCTTTGTTCATCAGAGCTGGAAATTTATCCAAAAAGGCTTAAATCCAGTATGAAATCAGACAACCATTTCCGATGGTATGAAAATTCATCTGGGTCTCAAGGTGTGTCTCTTCATTGTTGCAATCCTTCTAGCAACATCAGCTTATCTAATTCTACAAGCTTTACTGCATGTTCAATCAGACAACCATTTCCGATGGTATGAAAATTCATCTGGGTCTCAAGGTGTGTCTCTTCATTGTTGCAATCCTTCTAGCAACATCAGCTTATCTAATTCTACAAGCTTTATATATATACATGTTCTATATTCCATACACACAAAAATATTTCAAAGTTGCTGAAAATATCCAAAAGTCTTAAAGCTACAGATAACTGTAGGCACAAATGCTTTAAAATCCATGAAAACTAAACTTAAGTTACAGGCAAATACTTAAGTCATAATTCAAAAACATGATTGCTGAAAGATCTTCAAGCAAGATAATCCCACCCTCAGCTGTACAGATTTACAGGAATTGTATTTTGCAGTAATTATAAAAGCAATAGAAATGTATATTATAATATTTTTCATTGTTGATCAAAACCCTGTAACTTATAGGTCCAGAAAAAGTCAGTTATAAACAGCTGAGATAAATATAAATATAGGGAAGAAAGAGACATACAGACTGCAGCACAATGCAACATACAAAGACACACTGGATACGGCAACACAGATACCAAGGTGTATTAAGCATTGTGTAACAGTAGCATCTCAGAGCAGATGAGGACAACATGGATTTTGTCTCCATCAATTCAACCTGGCTTGATGAACAAAAGCAAAGCTAAGTGTGCTGCTTATATACTGCCCCATAGTGTTTAGGGTTTACAGTTTAAGTTTGCAGGCTACACATTGCCCCCCCCCCCCGTAGTGAGCTGGGTGCTCAGTCTACTGACCTTGGAAGGATGGAAGATTGAGTCAGCCTCAGTCTGGCTGCCTTAACCTGTCATGATCAAACTCAGATCATGAGCAGAATCTTGATTGCAGCACTGCAGTTTAGGCACTGTGCCACCAGGCTCCTCACAAGCACTTAGGGTAATTTTTAAGTGTGTTACTATAACATACAGTATTTAAAGGTTAAAAAATGACTTACTTCGATGTATTCTTTAAGAACTTTGGTATTTTGGAGATATACTCTCTGTTTTTCAATGTTCCTTTTTAGGCCATAAGCGCTTGCATTTTTAGAATGTAATTAAATTACCTTGCGATCCAAGTGAATTTTCATATGATCGGAAGTGGTTGTCTGATTTCATGTTGGACTTAATCCTTTTTCTGGAATAAGTGCCAGCTGTGATGAACACAGGCTTCTGATTTTTTTTTTCCTAGAAGGCTCTTAAGGAGAGGTTCAGGCATCCGGCTCCCTGACCTGATAGCTGTACTTGCTCAAGAGGCCACAGTGAGAATAAAAAGCATTTTCCTCAGTATAAGGAGGCAAAATATCTCTCAAATTATTTCTGATTCTCTTCTTTAAAGAAAAAAAATATTGTCTGTCTCCAACTTGATTTTTTAAAAGTTCATTGTTGGGAAGTAAATTTGTATTAACTCCCCCCATGCTATATATCCTTCTGTGACAGCTGAAGGAGAAGAGATTTAATTCCATAGGATCTCCATAATCACTCTAGTAGTGTTTTTCCCTGCACGTGGTCTGCACGTGGACCCGAAGTCCATTCTGTTTCTCAGACAGTTGCCAACTGTTTTCCAAATAGTCATCACCTAATTAGAGAGAGAGAGAGAGAGAGAGAGAGAGAGAGGTTTCCTGGTTGCCACAGATCCATGATTGGAACAAATAATTTTCAAAGCAAAGCAAAGCGTGGTGCTTATATACCACCCCCATAGACCTTAAAGCACTCATGGAGCAGTTTACAACATAATTATGCAAGGAACACTTTGCCTCCCCTCCCCCCATTGAGTTGGGTACTTAATTTGGAAGGATGGAAGGCTGAAGACCAACCTTGAGCCAGTTACTTCAACCTGTTGGGCTCAGACTTGGGTCGTGAGCAGGGTCTTGACTGCCATTATCACTGTGCCACGAGGCTCTCTGTAGCATTTTTCCTTTAATATGTATAAAGGCTTAACCCCCACCATGGAACCAGAATTAATCAGCATTCAGTCCCTCCTGCCACCTGTTTGCTAAGATTATGTTTGTTTTTTAAGGATCAAAAAGCTTTTGAACATGGCAGAATGCCACGTATCTGAGTTTACCTAGTAGAGGCAGTCTTGAATGTCAGGACCGTTTCTTTCTGAACTACTGCTTGATACTACAGAAATGAATCAGAAAGCCTTGCCTTTGCTCACGCCTAAATAGGATTGATGGAATGAGCTGAGCTTAAAGAAAGAAAGAAAGAAAGAAAGAAAGAAAGAAAGAAAGAAAGAAAGAGAGAGAGAGAGAGAGAGAGAGAGAGAGAGAGAGAGAAAGAAAGAAAGAAAGAAAGAAAGAAAGAAAGAAAGAAAGAAAGAAAGAAAGAAAGAAAGAAAAATTACAGCGGGGGTGGGACCCTCATTCTGTTCCTCCAAAACCAACAAGCCAGTCTGAACTTGTACATAAGGATGGAACACTTGACACCTCCTCCTACACCCCCTTTTCCTTTTCACACTTCACTTTTGGCTGCATGCTCACCCATCAAATGCTGATTTGTTTTCAGGGAGAGCAGGACCTGTCTAAGCAGCCTGGGAAGTTGACATCATCTGCATGGCTTGTGTTAAAAAGTAAAAACTCTCCTTCCCCAAGGAAACAGGCAAGGATATCCACATTATTGTCATCAGCAGATCAAGGAGCGAGTGCCATTGCTAGAGCTTCACACATCAAGCTTGCTCTGACAATTCCACCTGTTTTTGTCATCTTTGTACCAGTGGAAAGAAGGAGGAGAGGGGAGGAAGTGTCTTTCTTGCTATAACTCTCAACCAGATTAGGAGGAATCAGGCTGGGTACGAAGCCTACTTTTAAAAAATTAATTATAAGAATAAGTAGCTCCATGTACCTAAGAGGTCGACAACCTGGGGCCCTCCAGAAGGTGAACTGAAACTCCCAGGATTCCTCCCTTTGGAGACTGACAATGTTTGAAGGACCAGGCCTTGGAAAAGTTACATTTTAAGGACTCCAGCTGCCACAGTCTCCCACCTGGCATAGTCACTGGCCATGCTGGCAGGGGGATTCTGGGAGCTGAACACAGAAGGAGTGTTCTCCAAGCTGTCAGTTCCCCAAATGTGAAGTAAATGCTAGGCTGGGGATGTCATGAGTTTGAATGCATTGAAATGAATTTCAGGGAAATAAATGGTAGCAAGTCAGTGAGTGGCCCTAACAACAGATGATAACTCTTTACTGACTTTGTGCATTTTTAGGTCCCCCCCCCACGATTTTTAGGTGTATAGTTAAACAGAACAGTTTTCTGGGGTCATTTCTCAAGCAATAAGTATGGTAGCAGTATATTAGGAACAGTGACTGGCTGAACCCCTCTGTCAGGCATCTTCTCTGCAGGGAACCTGGCCTTGGGTGTGAAATGGCTTTAGTGATTTCATCTGTCCTTTGCTAGTCTTGTCCTGCCTCTGTTGCTTTGGGCTTCGAGGACCAAGGTTGTCTGATTCAATTTCTCTGGTTCTTCCTGCATGGAGTAAGTGTGCCAAAAAGTATATGACTGCTCATACAAACCATACATGAAGGAGAAATGGCCTTCCATGAGAACATCCCTTCTGACTAAAGAGCAGGGCATCAAGGGACACATGTGGTAGAAACAGATATTATCATTTGATGAACATGCCACCCTGACCAGCACCTTCACATACACATGACATTTCTTCCTTTGATCTCTATCTAGTCTGGATGTTCCAAGAAAAGGAACAGACCTTTCTTCTTTTCCAGAACCCACTCACAAAAGTTGGACATGAAGGGAAGGAAATCCTTGGCATACATGAATAGGAAAGCATTAATTACTACTAATGCTTCT